GAAGAAAATAAATATTAATAATAATATACAAGTTTTTGGAAGTTTTACAGTTCATTTATTACAATTATATTATCCCGACAAAATAAAATAAATCAAAACTAATCAAACTACATCAGATGGAAACAACTTCAAAATTCACTGGAATTTGTCGTTTTTTCACTTCCTCCACGAAACTGCCTGCGACTATAATGTTGACTAAAGAATTAAGCTGGAGTCAGGAAATGGAGACACATGAGAATGTGACTATTATTCATTTAAGTCATGATCATCGCGACCCAACAAATTGTTCAGACACTATATATGCCATAGATTCTACGGGCTTACCTAATGGGAATGAATGTGACACCGTATGGGCGTTCAAGGCTACGGTCGAGCGGCCGACCAACCACCGTCTCAAGAACGCGTCACCAGTGCCAACTAACAACAACCAACCACGATGCCGTATTCATCGGACTCTCCACCCTGCATCCTCGCACCCTCATATAAATATCGGTGTAAAGGCTACAGAAATTTACTCTCGACTCGACTTTCGATGTAAACGGACCACTCCAGCAGCAACGAACCTCGACGTCGTAGGAGTTACGATGTAGCTTTTACCCGCCAGGTTAAAAATTTTCCTTTCAGGTAGAGCAGCAGCCCAGCCGATTATTAAGTAAAGAAACCAATTACTTCCTGTGATTAATTATCTAGCGATTCTTTGGGACGAAGTACACAATGTACCTCTGAACTTACCCAACACACCACACCCAACCCAACCTGAAGTAACATAACAAAACTTTTTTTTTCTTTTTCGTGAACCAACATGATTTTCGCAATAATACGTTTACTCTCGTACGTTTACTATTCTAGGAATAACTACCCCTAAGAGCCTCGCACTCTTAGAGGGAATTTTCCTTGTAGGTACTATAACTTAGCGAGCAAGCTTCAATTCAAACTTCTTATTCTCAACAAGTTCATACATCTACAGAATCAGCCCCAATCCCCATGTCCGAGGATACAGAGTCTAGCACTTTATCGGCCGCCGTTCCCTCCCAGACTCAAGCCACAGATCCAGAACCACCACCCGACACCGCCATCGATTCCTAGACGAATCGAAGGTTGAATTGTCGACTTCGTCAAGACAGGGATCTCCATGCCGCCCTTCATAGAGTCGGCGAAGCCATCTCCATGGACGTAATTCAGCTCGAACCGACCCATAGAGTCTTATCTATCAAAAGGTAACAAAATCTGGCCAATAGTGTCTGCCCGTTTGGACAGGTCATCCGCAAAGTCAAAGTTAATCATCGAACT